TGTTGTATAGTAGTATAATAGAGTCGAAGCAAATACGAAAAATGTTTTTAAATGGAAAAATAACAATATAGTCTACATAAATATCATTTCAACTACAAAGTACAGTACAATAAAAACGCTAGAAACAACAATCCAAATCAGGCAGTAAAGGTACGTAATTCATTTTATACATCAATAAGTGCAACTTACAGTTCGACCCCAACGATCTGTGGAGTTCACATCAGCTCCTTTCTCAAGAAGTAGAACAACAATCTCTGCACAACCTTCAGAGGCAGCTAAATGAAGTGCTGTTCTCTTATCATAGTCAACCAGATTGGGTTCCACTCCTTTCTCAAGCTCTTGCATCACTCCCTCTTTGTCACCAAGGCCTGAACAGTGCAGAAGACGATAAGGACCTCCTGATTCCATTCTTTGAGGTAGCATCTGCTGCTCAAAACGTACCATTAACCAAAGTTAGTCTGTAGTGTCAGAAAAACCTTCACTAGATAATCGAAAAGAAGCAAGTGCTACATGGAGACAACATCCGGTATGGCAAGCATCGGGAAACATACTGGATGACTTCACCGAGAAATTTAATTAAATATATATAGTTAAATATATTTTTTGTTAGAATCATATGTACATTACACTATTTTAAAAAACTAATGCAAGTAATAACAATTTTAATTGAAAGTAAAACCTTGGAACAAGACTAATTGTGACAATAAGTTCATACCACTCACAAATTCTTGTGTATGCCCCTAAGACAAATGTTCCGTAAAATACTGTTCTATTTGCATTGTAAAGATAAGGCACCTGGGCCTAAAATTCAACCCTAAGAGTTAGCTCGCATTGCAAAAGATAAGGCACGTGGGCCTAAAATTCAACCCTAAAAGTTAGCTCATGAGGGGAGGATTGTCCAAGTCCATCTAAGCAGACCGTCAGACCATTCCCCAACCAATGTGGGACTTTTACCCACTCTAACATCACCCAAGTTAGCTCATGAGGGGAGGATTGTCCAAGTCCATATAAGCAGACCGTCAGCCCATTCCCTAACCAATGTGGGACTTTTACCAACTCTAACGTCCCCCATTCACGCCCAGACCCAACTGAAGTGTCGACCGAAAGCCCAAACAGGTCCACAGAGCCCAAACAGGGATGAACCATGTTTTGATACCATGTAAAGATCTGACACATAGCCTAACTCAATCCCAAAAAGCTAGGTCATGAGGGGAGGATTGCTCTAGTCTATACAAGCAAACCGTCAATCCATTCCCCTACCAATGTCGGACTTTTAACCCACTCTAACATGCAACTAATAACTTGCTAGCTAGATAATCTTAGAAAACTTAAAAGTCCAATATATGGGATTGTGATTTGTTTTTCCATTTTTGCCTCAAACACCATGGAGCATAGAGTGGCTGGAGGCTCCTAATATCTCCACAAAATCACCTTCTCATTGCATGCTAAGCAAGATAGACATGGAAAAATTGCAAACCAAGTTATGCATACTGAAGTTCAATGAAAACTTGAGAAGTTAATTATTTGATTCTTATGATCATAGCATAGTTTTTGACTATTTAACTCACATGGTCATTGTACCATAGCTGACTTTTCAAGCTCATTTTATTCTCTTTCACTATATTTTTTTCAATATAGTTTAATTTACTTACTTGCAAATCTAATCCTGTTTTTCAACTCTAAATAATTCACTCCCATATAAAATCAATATTTGTGAAGGATCTAGAAAATATTGACAAGTTAAATGTTTGATTCAGAAATAAAAGGGAAGAACTTCACTCAAGGTTTCGCAATTTCCTCCAAAAGGGGGAAAATGTTTTCAGTAAATAATTTGATCTAAAGATCAATAGAAACAAAAATGTATGTTTTTTTTTTGTCAAGTCCAAAACACACTAATTACCGCGGGAGGAGACAAATGAAGCTCGTTATCGTCCATGAGTGAAGAAACCTAGAATCAGAAATAAAAAAATTGTTTTAAGTAGCTGAGAAGTGTGGAAAGGAAACAGAGGAGCTTATATAGAGAGTTCATGGTGATGATGATGCAGTTAATTTTAGGAACAAGATAGAAGAAGGTCATAATCGAAGACGGAGATGACAAGGGAAAATTAATGGAGACATAGTGTTCTTCGTCTGGTTTTGGAATTCTTCGATGTTGTACTCCCCACAAACAAGAATCTTCTCTTTTGGCGCTTCCCCCTAAACTTGTCAAATGGATCGGTCCGTCTGATTTCGGTCAACTAAGATCGACCCGGTAGTGACCCGCAATTTTGGCGGTTTTTTCCAGTACGGGCTAGTTTTTTCCTATGCCTATTACTATTTGGACTATGGGTGTTTATGGTTCGATTTGGATCGGTTATTGGTTAAGATTAAAATTAAACTAATCTAGTTGATTTTTTAAAATTTCTAAAATCAAATCAAACCAAACGAAAAACATAATCATCGGTTTGGTATGAGTAAGTATTTATCCGACCCAGTTAACATGCTTACTTCCCCATCCTAATATTACACATTTCCCTTTGTAAATTAAAGGGATAAGGCATAGTAACAAGGAGAACTACTACAAAAGAATGTGGGGTTGTTTCTTTTTTAATTCAGGTATTGATTTCAAGTTTGAATATGAAAAAATTCTTTATAGGAGCATTTTCTACGTGGTCCTCCAAATTAGTAAGATTCGAATATGGATATCAAATATTGAATTAAAAAAAAACTGACTTTGTAAGCTCCTCACAGAAAAAGAAATGAACAAATCACGCCAATATTTTTGGGTCATATAATTTATAAAAGCAAAAATGAAATAATCTAGCTTATTATACATAGCTATAATTTTAATATACTATCAAATATAATTATAGTTAAGCTTTTATAGCAAATTTTTTCTCTCTTCCATCATGATAAAAAAAATTCTAGTAGGCCGTGAGGCCACCTATCATTTTCCCATACGTGAACTCCACTAGTTATCAACCATTAAGATGAGAGAAAAGCGAAATTATATGAAAAATTAAGTAAAAATTAAAAAATTTAAAATCTGAATCATAACTTAAACATACACGACAAATATAATCTTCAAGAATGGGTGACACAAGTACAAGAGCAACTAAGATATGAAACCTATAGGTTTGAACACTAAAATTATTTGGAAAGAAGAAAAAACAGTAGGTATAAAGATAGAACTAGAATCTAGTATTACCGCTCATCCTAAACTCCGACAAGTCTTTTTGAGTCCAATAATGATTTAACCGCCAACGAACTTAGAGTTGAACATGCACATGAAAGATGGAACAAGTGTAAAGTGGATATGAGAAAACACATGTACTCAGCAACAACATTGACTGATCCAAAAATGAAGCAATGGCCAGGATCAATCCTATATTGTCTTGTTCAATACTTACAAATATTAGATCAACTTTGTAAAAGACATAGAGTAAAAGTACTACACTCAACACAATATCTGCCTCTTGTTATCATCAAGGACTCAATAGCTATAACCAATCCGGACCGACAATCATAATTAAATATGGAATAGTTTACATATATCATATTCTAAGTCAACGTTAGATAAATACGCAATTTAAAAATCTCTCAACAACAACCCACAAAAGATAATGAATGGACGATTGGATACAATATATATACTGTGTATACACCCGTTGTTATAGTGTAGCTAGCAGAGATTTATGGGGTACTCATGAGATCCATATATTGATTGGTGGGACACTCCAATCATATATAATATTGTGCATACGTACAACTTCGATCCATATATGATATAATAAATAGTGTATAGGTATGCAACTCCTATACCAATAAAATACAATGCATAATTAATGTGCAATCCCAAACAATTAATAATTATTTCAAGACATTAATCCCATAAAGTAATTCAACTCAATTCTATTTTCATTTCAATCTCTTGGCCATATAAAAGTTCATTTCAAACTCATCTTTGTTTATTTGTATTCCTTATGAATTACTACTGGCTTTTAAAATTTTATTAATTCTTGCTCATGATTTATAGTTCATAGTGTTTATTAAATTTTTGTTTTAAATATCTGAATATTCATTTACAGTTAGTGTTGGTTCTAGTTGACTATTTTTGTGTCAAAAAATAGCTTAAGAATATGAAAACTCGTTGAGGATAATTATAAATAAATGATATATTTATTTTGATATTAGAAATACTATTTGAATTGTTTTATTCTTTGTTCAGAATTATCATAATTATTAAACTATGTTGTTTAAGTGATTTGTTTATATAAATTGAAAAAATGAATAAATTTGAATCGGAACTCAAAATAAATTAACGCGAGGCCCAAAATATTATGGTAATCAGTATGTCAATATAAATTGAAAGATGAATAACTTGAATCGAAACTCAAAATAAATCAAATTGAAATTCAAATTAGTGTCACAATTGATTTGTCTAATCGAAAATCAATTAGTGTTGGACTTAAAACCTCAAAATTCTAAATTTGCCTCTTCACAAAATCAATCTTTGGTCAGTTTACTTGTAGTCATCATTTTGAATTTTAGTATTGTTGTAATAGGTGCCCATACATCAAGTTCTTTGAAAAATCAGTGGTGCTGGTAAATATTTAGAATAAAATTCTCAAAAAAAATTATTCTTTCCTTTTTCATTTGTGGATAATTAATATTATATTAAATTTTCAATTAATAGTTTTTTTCGATAATTTTGTTATTATTGGAAGAGTTTAGATTTGGATTTCCATAACTAAAAGCAATAGAGTAACATAACTTGTTTGTTATTAATTGTTTCCTCTTTTAAGAAGTTAATTAAGTGTATAATTAATTCTTGATAAATGTCTATTGTCATTTATTTATAATGTATATTTATATAGTGTATACATGCACTAGTAACGTATTATTTAATAGATGTCTATGTAATTACATTAATTATTTAGAAGATTAATTTTTTTCATAATCCTTAAACTTATAAAAAGGGAATTAGAGATAACAAAAATAAAGGAAATCCTTGTGATATAATGAAGGGAGGACTCCTTGAAGTTTATGTTGTAAGTGCCCGTGGCATTAGCCACTCCAACATTATTGGTAAGGATTTTAATTATATGCAAAAGAATAGTTTTATTTTTATTTCATGGAATATATTTTATTTCTTTGATCTCATTTGTTACTGTCTTCCTTTGTTGATTGTATACTATCTTTCGTATTGGATGGTATGTATATACACTGTTTTCCTCGCCTTTTACTTGGATTTGATGTACTTGGCTGAGGGTCTTTCGGAAACAGCCTCTCTACCTCGCACGAGGTAGTGACAAGGTCTGCGTACACTCTACCCTCCTCAGACCCCACCTAGTGGGATTTCACTGGATATGTTGTTGTTGTTGTCTATATTATCCTCAATTAAGTACTATCCATTTTTTAATATTAAATAACTTATAGAGTAATAATTAAAATACATTTTTTTTAAAATTATTTATTAAGGGATATGACCAGGACATGGAGTAATATGTTATAGTGCCAACTTGTGTATATATTTTTCAGGTTATTAATCCATTTATTGTAGAAAGTTACTTGTACTCCTTTTGTTTCAAAGGTTTTCCTTCTTTTTTTTGGTTAATTTGACTAATTAATGATTTACATTGAATAAGATTAATCAACCAGTATTTTAAATTAAAATTGAATGTTTAAAAACTATAAAAAAAATAAATTATAAGTCTCTGTTGTACATCAATATGATGAAAATATACATTTAAAATAGGTAAAGTACTTTGATCTCGAGAAACAAAAACGACTAATAATTTGAGATGAAGGAAGAGTTATCTGCTTTGGGAAATGTGTTATGTGAAAAAGTTCTTTTGTGGAGTAATTTTTATGTTTACGTCCTTACGATGTCTTACTTATCTTTGTATAGGAAATCCATCGTACTATGTGATTGTTGAATGTGGATCCCAATCCTACACAACAAAAATTTCCTCAGGTTTGTTGTTTGTCTTAGTCTTGTAGTGTATATAATTTTATATATTGGTGGATAGAATTTTTTTTTAAATTAATGTTTCATATAATGTCTGGTATTTATATTATTAGAGGCCGACCAATTCAAATTCACACCAGATAGGGCTTATTTGGGGTAGCACTAGCTCCTTGCCAAAGAATTTTCATAATGAAGGTTCAAACGTGAAACCTTTAGTCAAAGGCGAAACAAGAACAACCTCATTCACTGCACCATATCCTTTGATGGTAGTACTATTGTGATAATGGAAAGTATATGGTAAATATCTTGTAAAATTAGTTGAGGGCGTGAAAATTAATTCTCCTCTATTTCAACATGTATTGCATCTTTTCTTTTTTGGATGATTTTTAAAATGTTTTGACAATTTTTATGCAACTTTCACAACTTGTAAATTTCAAATTTATTCAAACATTCAAGATTTGAACTTTGATGTGATATCAAACAAACTTGCCAATCCTTGATATTTACAAGGTTTAATACATAGATTACTTCCCCACTTATATTGAAAAAAAAACCTTTTTACACACTAGAATTTGTTTAAAGTGAAGCTTTTATATCCACTATTTTTTATGTTACACCAACAATACCATTAGTGAAAAAAATTAAGAAAATAAATATCTAAAATTACAAATATACCCATGACATTAAAAAGTTTGGTGTGTAGAAAGTTTTATGTGGTCAAGAAGTGTATAAAGGGGATTTGGGTACAAACTTAGGGGAATTGAATAATCTTTGTTCAATTTGTAATATGATTTAATTGTTATAATAATGCAGGTAATCATAAGGAAATTTTGTGGAATGAAAAATTTAAGTTTGAATTGCCAACTAACAAATTAGAGGAATGTGAGTACCTTAAATTAAAAATTATGGATGAAGAATTCTTCACAGCTGGTGGATTTGCTGGTGAAACCATGTAAGTACTTTTTCTTTTAGTCTGTTTCAAAAAAATAATAATATTTTTTTAGATTAATTTTTTAATTTTAACCTTTTACATAATAGGTTTAAAATCACAAATTTATAGAATATTTTGACATATTTTATCGATCTTTAGTTAAGATTACAAGATTCAAAGATCTTGTATAATTTCTCAAGTTGTGCGTCGAGTTAAAACTAGATAAATAAATAAATTAGTTTTTTTTTTTTTTTTTTGCTTCAGAATTAATCTGAAAGGAATAATTATGGAGGGGAATGAAAAGAGATTTATTGAAGTGATACCAGTTGCTTATAATGTGGTACTTGAAGATGACACATACAAAGGGCAAATAAAAGTTGGACTCAGATTCACTCCTAGCAATGTATGTATCTTTAATTAATTTGGTATACTATTATTCTTGCCTCAATTTACGTGTCACAGTTCAATTTCAAGTGTCAATTGTAAATTTCAATATAAAATCTTTAAGTTTTTGAAATAAAATTTATATATATATTTTAAGAAAATTGAGGTAGGGAAATTGTAAATTTCAATATGAAATCTTTAAGTTTTTGAAATAAAATTTATATATATATTTTAAGAAAATTGAGGTAGGGGAAATGGGTGAGGAAATAAAAATTACCAGGTGGATGATCAAACCGTCAGCACACTCACCATCTAAGGTGAGTGTTCATGTAGTTATTAATCAACTGCAACTACTAAGATTCCACAAAATTTACATATTTAAAAATTATGAAAGTATTATAAATCACCGTATTGATAATTCAAAATGCTTAAAAGACATGAAAAAATTATGATCAACGAAAAAAGTTATTTGACTAGAGATTCAAAATGTGTCATATAAATTGAATAGTAATTACTTTTATATATATATATATATATATATATATATATATATATATATATATTCACTTTCCCCTAGTTTATAAAATGGTTCAATTCTTTTTCTTTTTTTTTTTGCAGAAAATTGTACAAACAGTGGGGAAAAAAGATGCTCCAAAGGAAAATGAAAATGGAATTGGGCAAATTATATATAGCAAAATCATTAATCTATGGCCAAACACATGGAGAAGCTTCTTTCCTTGTGAGAATGCTAATAATATTATTGACAAAAATAAGCCAAATTAGAGTTATTTCTTTTTCTTTAATTTAGAATAATGTTTAGACAAAAATGATTTCCTTCATATTCTTGACATTGTCTAGTTAGGTCAACATGGTACTTGTGATATTTTGGCAACCAACTCATTTTATTTGGTAGTTTTTTTAGATGTTGCAAAATATTATCTAAATAAGATTGAATAAAACATAAATTTACAAACAATTCAATATGCTAAGGGATAAATTCCCTTTTGGATCTCCAATTATTTTGTAAATTCATTATTTTCATATTTATATTAGTTACAAATTTACAATAGTTATTGAAGCAGATGGCCCAAATCATACTCAAAACACAAAAAACAATTTAATAAGGTTCACATGTCTCGTAGTTTTCCACTAGATCACTAATTATGCAGTTGCATATCAACCAACGAGAATCTCGACCTCTTCAATAAAAGGATTCAGGATGTAAGGTGTTAAATAATTTTGATTTTCATCGGAACATTGTGATATGCGTGAAATATTTTCTTACTTCATTCAATGAACCACTTAGTTCAAGATTTGTTCACTAAGTAATCATGATTTAGAAATTTTTTAACTAATTGATGGTTCAAGTCCAAAAGAAACCATAATTGATGCATATAACATGTTGTTAGATTAATATCTCAAAATATTTTTTGATTTTTCAAAATAAAAATTTCTTGAAACAACTGAGGGATTGTAAGAGTTAGTGTCAATTAATTTTGAAACAAATTCATCTAGTAAAAGTTTTTGAAAAAAAATACAAAATACATGAATATGAATTATAGGTTCTCGAAAGATATATATTTCCTTTTTTGAATTCATGAACCTATAATAAATATAATTTAATTAAACATCTTCTTTTTCAAATCTTTTGTCCTATAGTTTCTTTTATTTGAAAAGACAAACACTCAAAAAACTACTTTCCTTTGAAAGAAGATTTGTGTCACGATCCGAGAACACCCCCTAGTCGTAACATGGCGTACTCGACCCCGAAGGGGTCTTATACAAGCTACATAGTCATTCATTGCATTCAATAATGAAAATAGTGCGGAATTACAACTTATTTAAATCCAAAACATCAAAATACTCATTTAAACATCTTTCAAAGACACAACGGAAGACTAAGTCTCACATGACCATCTTAACAATGTACTTGAAAACTAAAGTAGGGACACGACCATAACAATCAAAAACACTTGAATTGTCTATTACATGAATAAAAAAGGAAACTTCAAAAAGACACTTGTCCTCGGTCAATGAGGACATACCACTCTTAGCCTTGGAGAAGATTCAATCCAAGCTCTTCGATCTAGATGGAAGCAATCACTTGCCGGAACCTACACTTGTAGTTAAAAAGGTAGAAATATGGGTTAGCATACAAAATGTACTAAGTATGATGACCATGCAAAACATGCTTTAAAAGGGACATTTTAGTTAGAAATCATGCATTATGCCACCTTTTTTAGAAACATCATGTACAATAGCATATAAGGCATACAAGACAAGTAACAACATCATACAAGTCATAATATCACACCTTGACAATATCAACATGAAAACCTTTACCTTCACCTTAGACCTTCACTTTTAAATGACCCTTATGCTATACCTTGTGCAATGCATGGATGACGTCCCATACCACCATCCACACCAAGGTACCACATTAAGGCCACCAAGAGTGAACTTACCATTCCTTCTTTTTCACCTTTGCACAATATCCATACATAAGAGACATATCATTTCATAAGGCATGACAAGGGAAAAATAACTCATAATACAACCCAAGTATAGCATACATATCATATTAAGCATTTAAGAGCCCACGTTCTTTACTAACTTCATTTAGGACACATTCATGTCATAGCCATTATGATTTAGAGAAACTCACTATGACCCTCTCAAAGCCTACTCGAGCAATGTATAGGTAGCATCCCATACTACTACCTACACTTTGTAGAACCTATCAATGAACCACAATGAAATCTCACATGATGGGAAGTAAGCATTAACTGACATAGACCATGAGAGCTTGTCATGGAATCTGGTGTCATAAGTCCCCACACCGTAAAGAGGTGGTCTACTTGCCTAAGGAAGACCGGTTCATACAGCTTAGGTGGATCCACTAGCTAAACCTATGCGGACACATAGTTTATGGGATAAGGTAGACGATCATTGAAACTCATGCCTAACTTTGGGGGAGTTTCCATCTAACCAAATCCACTTGGTGCTTAGCCTACATTCCCATAGAATAGTTCATCACCTTGACATTATCACATATGAGAGGTGCCATTGGCGTATCGACTCCAATTCATTCATTAACACATGAAAGAGTGTCTTAAGCCTACGATTCAAGGTACATTTAGGTAAGCTCATTAACTCCTCTTGAAAGGGTGTCATAGGCCTACCGGTTCAAGGCTCATCATTAACCCTTATGGAAAGGTGTCATAAGCCTACCAAATTCCAAGGTTCATTATTAACATGTGTGGAAGGGTGCCACTAGCCTACCGATCCAAGGATTCAACAATCAACAATACACTCATTTATACAAGAGAGGATGCACAAGCTCTATCAATTCGAGATATCCCATATATTGAAGAACCCTTCATATTCTATCATCTACATTCATAAGTGTCACATTGAGAAAATAGCCTTTCAATAATAACACATTTACATTAAAAACATGATCACAATAGCTTCATTGAACTCCCATTCTGTCACGCCCCGAGCCTACACCCTGGGCGGGACTGGCACTCGAAGACCATCGCTGGTCCCAGGCAAACCCTTGGCCTGGATTTCTGAACTCAGCGGAAGAATTTCTCAACATAATAAGTTTAAACAATAAGCTAAAGAAATAACATCTTAGCCAAAATGACAACTTAGTCTTTAAACAACAATTGAATGAATAATGTAAAGACTACTGAACTACTAACTATCTAACCGTCCATGAAGCCTCTAAAATACTGAGATGGATGTTGGGACAAACCCCACAACATCCTAATAAATGAAAGACTGAAAGTGAATAAAAAGAGTCCTCCGGAATACAAGGAGACTCACCACTGACTTTGAACTGCTCAACTGGATCAACGAGGCACTGGATGCTGATCCTGGTTACCTGAATCTGCATCATAAGACGATGCAGGCCAACTGGCATCAGTATATTGAATGTACGAGTATGCGAGTTGGAATGCTAAGCAACAAAGCTAGAAGGAAATCTGAAAGAAATTGAATAACTTACCTGGCTCAACTCAACTCAACCTGACTGACTCATTTCAATATAAAGCAATTTAAAACAAGTGCAATGTAAAGAAAAGCTGTTTAAAAACATGCTATAAACTCTGTGTGTATGCAAAAATACTATAAATTTGAGATGTATGTAGAAATACAAATGAACTGATGTATATAAAAATACAATAACTGTTGTGGGAGTTTCTCTAACCGACAACCATCACATAAGAGCTATAGTGATGATACAACGAACAACCTCACGCTGCCAGAGCATCCTATACCCGGCCAAAAGTATAGGACCTGAACTGCCTAATGGATCCACTAGTCTAATTTGAAAATGATTCATCTAAAAAAGTATGAACCTCTTCTACCTATTGTGGCTACATGGTTCTATGAAGGCTGTGGGTTCTTTGAACTCTCCCCCAATTCTGTGCTCGATACTACTCCCAAAAATATACTGGCTCTTATGTTTTTAAAACATATTCTTTCTGCTGATTTGAGACTAGTGCTCAAAACTTAGTTCAGAGGCTATCTTAGAATTCTCAGTTTCCCCTGCTTGCTTTATTTAGAAAGCCATTATTCTTTTCTGAAAACTAGCCCAAAGGCATCTTTGGAAATCTCAGTTTTCGATCTCGTTTAAATGTGAAAACATTTCTTTAAAACTTCTTTGGGAATACATAGTCCCCATATATCTCTTTGAAGAAAAGAACTTCAAACCATAGCTTTACTCTTTGCTTAACTTCAAAATTTAAGTCTTAAAACGACGATAAAACATTGTTAAAGACCCTTGGAAACTTTAAGAAACCTTGCTTTGACTTGCTTCTTAACTTCTAGACTTGACTCTTAACTTCTTTGATTTTGAACTTAACTTTCCTTGAATTGAATTATGTATTCAAGGTTCATGATCTCATGTTTATGAATAATTTCATGGTGTTTAGATGTACTTTAGAGTGTTGAAATTGACTAGCTAGGAAACATAGGTACATCACTTAAGAACAAGTACGAGAAGGTAGGGAATGAATGGGGAGAACTGGCGTCCCTGGCGCTCTGAGAGGCGCAGGGCGCCAGCCCACAAACTTCAGAGGGCTGCCTGTGGCGCTTTGGCTGGCGCGATACGCCAGAGGCCAAAGTTCAGAGGAACTTTTGTGGCGCTCTGGCAGGCGCGACGCCCCAAGCCCTTGCCCAGAAAATCCCCGACTTTTCTCCTTCATTTTTCATCTCTAAACCCTCTAAACTTCAATGGTCCTTTCCCCAAACACTTAGGATCATTTATACCCTCAATACATGATAGATTTAACTCGAAAAACAACTTGGAAACACGAATCAAATCAACACTAGGCATTCAACAATCAACCCACAAGAATTCAACAATGTTCTTCAAGAACTTCACTTTCTTAACATTCAAACAACTCCAATTTCGCTGAATTGAAACAAGTTAGTGTGTGGGTGAACTAACCCAACACGAAAGAAATCTCACATACCTTAATAGGGATCACCCCCGATGAATTCCACTCGCAAAGCTTGAACGTTCTTGGCGATTTCTTGATTTCTCTCCTCTTTTCTCTTCTTTCTTCTCCTCTCCAAGCCCTAGCATAAATTCTATTTTTTTTCTAAACTGAATAAAGTCTTGTTTTACCCCAATTAATTCCTAAAAACGAAATAGGCAAATTAGGTAAGGAAAAGACTAGCTTACCCCTCACAAATCCGGATTTGGACTTTCCTTAATCCAATAGCCAATTTCCAAAGGGCATAACTTACTCATACGAACTCAGAATCGCGCA